AATAAAAGCAAGTGAAATGAATTTTCAATGCCTGTGCAATGTTTGGCATCATTTCAATAATATATACAAAGAGATTTCATTTAGAATTTAAAAACTAGATTTTCTTCTGTAAAGATTTTAAAGGGTCAAATTTTTATTCAAATTTGATATTGAAATTTTGAACTAAAAGTTAAAATACACTGATTTCATAGAGAAGAAAATATCAAATATTATCAAATACAAAAAGGTAGGATTTAGTGCTGAAGTTCAGTCTCAAATGAATAGCTCTTTCTGGTCTATTTCTTCATAACACTTGTTTATTCTTGTTGGTAAGTGATGATTAAAATTTCAGAAAAATAATATTGTACCAAGCAATCTTTGTATTCACTAACTAACTGAAGATGAAACAAGTATCACCAAGCAAAGACTGATATGTAAACTATTACTGCAACCCAATGATCTATTCCATGAAACTTCTTACTGAGTTAGTGTTGCCATTGTAAAGAGAACTGAATATTTACTAATAAATTGTCTATCATCATTATTCCTGACACGTCTAACTGCAATTACACTTCACACCAATGACTTCCTGTTCTTCTTAGCAGAGAACCAATGCGATGAACAAAGAACTTAAATAAGTACAAATAGTAGATTTTGTGCCTTAGAAGTTTCCTCTTTATAAAGAGATTGCTAAATATTGTAAACTTTTAAAACAATGTTTATACTGAGAATACTCTTATAAAAGGCTCATCTAAATATTATCAGACAGACGATTAAATAAATCATAGGTAAGGATTGAAATTGTTTGTATGAGAAAATGGTGGAAGAGAACAGAATGTAAAGGAGAGCTTGAGTGTAGAGAGGAAGGTAATTTACAATGAATGAGTCAGAGTATAAGATTAGTAATGTAACCAGTCATACATATTATTTGCTTGGAAATATAAACTGCCATCACCTAATTATTAAATATTTATATCTGGTCTTCTTTCTTCTGATTTATTAGTGGCTTTTTTCCATTAGGACCTTACAGTTTTTGCATCTAAAACTAACTACCTACTTACAAAAACAAGCAGTAAAAAACAATAAAAACTAAAAGGTAAAGATGTAGAGAGATAAAAGTCCACTTGTAAATGAATTGTATCACATTTATTAAGCTACTTATTCATTCTAAGAGAGATAAAATAATATTCCAATAAGAAATAATGAAAAAATAATTCATCAAAAAAAATTCCCAGAAAACTAAATTTTAAATATCTGTTTCTAAAAAGTAGAATACAATGATAACTTGTTAATAGATATTCACTTTTAAAAAAAGTTATTGTTTAAATTAAAGTAAAGAAAGACCTATATTTCAGTAGTTTGTCAAGTAAGATCAATTCTATATATTATGGATTAAATTTTCCCCATGTATGAGAAAATATTTTTTCTATAGTAAATATAACAGAATTAGTTAATGGCGTGGTCAGGCTTTTGTAATTAAAAAAGAAAGACAGACTTCATTTATTAACTAATATTCTTTTTCTGTGTAAAGCCCCTACTTAATGAATTAATCTAAAACAGAAATATTCACTTAAAATAAGAGAAAAATATTACACAACATGTTACAGTAACTACATTTGCATAAAAATGGAGGTTAACAATAAGACAAGCACTCAGATAAATGCAATAGTCATGGCTATATTATTAGATTTATGGCTTTTGGATTAATTGAAAAGTAACAGTTGCAGGAGACTCAAAACAGCTCTATGGCCAAGGTCTTTGAGAAGGAATTTAAAAATAAAAAATAGGAAAAAAGATTAATCTCTGCTGTGATGTTAATCTTTGAAGGAACTGGTCAGTAAAAATTCCTGCATTCTTTGACATGAAAAATTCTGCAGATTCTTTGATGTCTTTATGCACTTCCTTTACAAGATCCTTTCTGCAGAGAAAAGATCTAACAAGTAGGACATTGCCTTTAAGCTGACCCAGCTTCGTAGAAATTGGTAAGAAAAAGGTTAGAGGAGCACAAGGGGTGTGTCATTTTCTTTATAAACTCCTGAATGTTGATCAAAATGTGAAAAATATAGTTCTCAATAAAAAAAAATGAATCCACATATCAATGAATAATGATTGTACATTTAAAAACAGTATTTTGAAAATATTTTCTCTATTGCAAAAAGAAGTAATGCTCCACAAGATTATATTTTATTATCTACTAGTGGAAGTAGCTGAACTGGGTCACATTTCTAAATATCTGAAATGAATACAATCATATAATTTCACTATACTATGGCTTTTAAAGGATGCTGAAAATCTTCAATTAGTTTAAAAATGTTGACTGTATCAGAATTGTTACTTTAAAATTAAAAAATAATTCTGTTTTCCCTTTATAATAATTCTCAAAAATGTAAATATATATAAAGATGTAAAATGAAATTCTAATATTAAAATTTGTCTAATTATCTGAGTAAAAATCTGTTGTTTTGTTTTTGAAAAATACTGTGAAAATTTACGTAATTACTCTATGCGAATTCTTTTTAATCAAGAACTTTTTTAATGTACTTTTACATAATTTATTAGTTTTCATACCTATTCCAAAGGCATTAGTGTGGACTGAATGCAGATTATATCATTCAGAGTTTGAACTCAATTCACTAATTCCATTTTCTGTACTTGCTAATACAGTGGTATTTTTTTTTAGAAGTAAATAAATGCTTGTCTAGATACCTACAATTAGGATACTTTAGGTTCATGCTGTGTCAAATAACATGTCATTTTTTATAGTTTGGACAAAAGTAGTAGCTTTTACCTGAAATTTACATGTGGTGATCTCACCTCAGAAATCAACACAACTGATCCCATATTCATCCTTGTCAAGTTACACTTAGAGAGTAATTTTCAACATCTGGGCTCCAGAAATATGGCTGGTCATAAGATGCATATAAACAAATAATTTCCATCTTAATTACAGATATTCAAATATTAACTGTAAATGATACATATTCTCTATAGCTAATATATGAGTAAGGATATTATATACAGAACATAGCTATAATAGTCTTGAAATGGTAAATGGTTTCATTTTTTTTTTTAATTATATAGAGCAAACAAGGTTATCCTTTCATAGCAGTTGATGAAAGTGCAGCTAAGTGAAGAAATGCATATTTGTCCATATTCCCACAGGTTCTTACACTTGTAATTCCATAATACCTACTAGATCAAATATCTTTAGTGTTACATTTGTGCAAATGTCTTCCTTTCAGAACTACTTTCAAAAGGCTTACAATAGATTAAGGGCATTGCTCTTCTTTTTGGGGCTTGCTTTATAAAAAGATAAAACATGGATAAAGCTGACTATGATTACTTGGACAATAAAAATAAATGAAAATAAATACACAACTGCATTAAGCCTCACAAGGGAGAAATTAAAGATTAAACAAAAGATGATTAAACCTTGGCAACAAACAAAAAGCATATTTTAGCAGTTATTTTGTTTTTTTTTCTCTTCTTTTTAGGTCTGCCAAGTAAATTCCAATACAAGTTGCTTCCTGATAATTTAGAACCAATTTTATACAGATAAATGCCTAAGCCTCCACCCTGACCCTGAACTGCAAGTTCATCGTTATTGATAAACTGATGGATTACAATCAGAAGAAACAGTAATTTCTACAGCTGATAGATATTCACATTGCACACACACTCAATGATAAATTGGTAATCACAGTATTTTGGCAGAGTTTTTTTTTTTCTTTTCATTATTCTTTTTTTTTTTAATCTATTATTTTTTTTTTTTTTTTGTATGTCAATGGTCTTTCTATAATTTTCTGGTCTCTTTCTTCTAAGTATCTTCGTGCCAAGACAATAGTGGTTCCATGTACAAGAAAATGGTAATCAGAAACAATGACATAAATTGTGAACCTATACAGACCAAATTGTATGTGGAAAGGAATTGGCCAAAGTCTAATTACAAAATAGCAAATACCTGGAATTCTCTTCAAGAGCCTTTTAGAAAAGATTACTTTGTATGTAGTTTTCCATATTAGATGATCAAATTGCTATGTTAATCAACTTCAGTCAGCATAAAGCTGCACTTCCCTCAGGCTAGATTGGTTCAATCCTATTCATCTGGGTGCTATCAGAGCAGTAGCCAAGGGCACCAAGACATGGTTAAATCAACATATAATGACATCAGGTCCTAACCTTGCCAATATCAGATCATAAGAATCATTATTTGAATAACAAAGTCTGTCCAGTTGAAGATTTAAAAAAAGAAATGTGATTCTATAGTATCCAAGTAAATCACTTTCTGATAATCATTATTCTTCGTTATCATTTTACTGGATTCATTTTTAGGCATTCAATTTACGATAGGAAAGAATGGCTAAATTTATCAAAAGAAAAAGAAGAGAATTGTATATGGTCATTACTTTGATAGTATCAAACTAAATGTCCTTCCAATAAAAACAAAGAATAAAATGTCTTAATAATTTACACCAAAAGTATTGTTCCTTTCATAATGTGTCATTTATTTATTTTCTTAAAATCAATCGAATGCACAGCATTGAACAAGAAAAACTTAGCAGGTTCAAACTTTTTAATCTTCAGCACTATGCCGAATCATTTGTAGTGATTACAATAATGTGTTACATTATCTCCTAGCAGTTTTGTTTTTTTGTTTTTTAATTCTACACTGACCATAAGAATCAGATTCATTTTCTTCACTTCTTATTTAAACTAAGAATAGGTGGAATTCTTCTTGGACATATTTGTCTGTAAAGAGAAGATTGTTTAACTAGAAATCTACAGGCAGTGTTTCAATAAGTGTTGAAATGTGTGGATCATCAGTGTAAGGTTTTGGCTCACCCCTTCCCTAACACTATCTATATAGTTGACTTTTCTTTTTTATAATGACAATAAGCCCGACTGTATTTATACATTTCTTTATAAGCATATTCAAGTAAATTAAGTCTAAGTAATTCCATCTAGGTTTCAAGCTGACAATTCTAGCAATTTATGTGGAAGAGAAAGGAAGGAAAAAAGACAAGAGAAGGAACAACATGTATGTATAAAAACAGATAAAAAAGAAAGTAAAGCAGCAAGAGAGATGGTGGGTAATGAGAGAGAGAGAGAGAATATGGGAAATTAAGGGGAAATAATTGGAGAAAATGATACAGACAAGAAAGAAAGAAAATGCAGTTGCTAGAATCATTTGTTGAAGTTTGTTTCTAAAGAGACAAAAAAATGTTAAATGAACAAAGTGTAAAAATAATAAGACTAGAAACTAAAGAACATTTACAAGTAACATTCATTAAAGTTTCTACAAATATATCAAAAGAATAAAAGTTAAAGACAAGAAATGAAAATATGAATTTCTAGTAGTATTCTGTATTTGACTCATATATAAAATGTATATTTCAGCAGCAACCTTTCTTTCAAACATCTTTCATTGAATACAGCCGACAAGGAAAATTGAATTAATTCTTTATTAAGTTTTTTTCCAGTGTCTTAACATTTTTCTGTTTCATAGGAGTTAAGGAATATAAAAATTGTCCATAAATTTTATTGTCCCAAGTGCTTTCAGCCGCTTCCATAGCCATTTTCAAGGGTGTTTTGTCTCTGGTGTTCTTATTTTTTCATCATCTTTTGACTGTTATGTCTAAATTATCTTTGTGCTGTTTGTTGAAAAAGGAGCATTCATTCCAGTGTCTCACATGCCACTGGAATTTACATAAGCATCTTTCTATTATATATATATATATATATATATATATATATATATGTGTGTGTGTGTGTGTGTGTGTGTGTGTATGTTGCATTGTTATTAACTACTAGAAATTCAAATTTTAGAATTTATTCTTCTGTCCTTAACTCCTTTATTCTTTTGGCATTATATATATATATATATATATATATATATATATATATCATTGGGACAGGTATATTTTCTTGAGGTTGGACATTAACAAAATGGTAGTGATTTTCAGAGAACTTAAAAAGATTACTTGGTTACTTGTTTTAGTGCATCATTTTACTTATAATTATTGTCATGTGTTATTGAAACAAATTAGCCATAAATAGTTCAGTATCACCTTTTTATAGCCATCTGTAACTTATATTACTGCCAGCCAATATGCTTCTTCATGCAAACCACTGCTTTGCATCACCCAAGATAATACTTCCCTGGTTACTACAATGTTAAGCTGTTCAAGTCTAGGGTTAATCCTTATCTTCCCCACATATCCTCATTAACTGTGCCTCTTACTCTCTAACCCTCTACCTAGAGTGGCTCCCAGTCCTTGTACATGGTGAACAACATTGTAAAAAAACCCAACAAAAACTGTTTTTACATTTATATAAGTAGCAAAGTAATCATTCTAAGTAATGCAGTTAATCAAAATAAGTGTTGCATAATCGGTCACATTAAGAAAGATACCTAAACAGGATGGAGGTCTTCAGTACAAACATTCAGGTATTGTTCTAATTTTGTATGATTTAAAATGAATTTTAAAAAATTTGTTTTTTATCTCCTTATGTTATGATGAAAGCAAAGAAAAATAATAAATACCAAATGAGAAAATACTATTATTTTATATTTAAATAGATGCGACAAAATTAAGCAGTGAACAAGGCTCAAGCAAAAAATAGGGTTTCAGCAAAGTGGAGAATTAAATTTACAAAAATTAATAAAGAATGAGGAGAGAAAAATTACAATTATATACAACTACTCTCTTACTAAAAGTTAATGTTTTCATGCATTAAAAAACCTTTGGACAAAAATACATCACACAAAATACATCTTTTGTTTTAAGAAAAAAAAAAGAGATACTGATTATTATACAATAGTATTGGCATTTAGTTATAATTTATAATTTACAATGACAGGAGAGTCAGAGGAATAACATGTAGAAATCAACTATGAAGCTACAATTTTTTTTTTTTATCATGAGCCTCATCCACCCAGCAAAAATTGAATAAGAAATCATAACCTCTCAGCTATCACTTTGAAGCTTACTTGCAAATATCATTGTTATAACTTTTGAGCTTAACCGTTTTTTTTTTTGTTTTTTTTTTAATGAAAAATATTTTCTTTATTTATGGATATTTCTTTATTTTCTTGTTTCTCCCTCATAAAACACTTGTTTTTTTTTTTTCTATTTTAATACAGTCTTTTTATTGCCATCTGCTTATATAAATGGGCCTGAATCTATCATGCAATTTATGCCTATTGAGACAGTATTTTTGTTAAGGGTTCGTTCCTTGTCCTTCTCCTCCTGCTTCTTTTTCACCATTTTGCTGACCTGAATTGCAATTTCCCAAGGCATGGATGAATTCTCTATGACACTCACTCACTCAGTGACTCAGCTTATAAGAAAAGACGTAGAAGACTGCAGCAGTCATCATCAGAGAAAAAGAGAGAGGTGAGATTAAGAGGGAAGTGTTCTGTGGCCATTAATTTACCAAAGAATGATTGACCTGCCTGATCCCAAGAGTTTCAAGTACTGGTTGCATTGGTTAGAAGAGATTAGAGATTAGTTAAAGCATAGTAAAGGGTCACTGGTACTAGCCACTTCTAACACCTAAAGCTGCTGGCAAGATTACATGCAAAGATTTTCTTTTTTTCTGAACACATGGCAACAACACTATAATACCAATAGTATCTGTATAGAAACCCAAGGAGGATAGCAATTTGATGATGGGGTGGGGGTATTTTTCTTGAGATAAATAGATTGTTTTACTTTCAATTTGGTATTATTTGATCTATTTCCAATCCAACAGTCCAAGCAATAAATACAAAAATTAACTTTAATCATTTATTTATTAAAATGAAATGGTCTGAGACAAAAGAACAACAATAGAGTATCTATTGAGAAACAAACTCACTATATGAGGAAATTGGTCGGCAAGGCAAATTTGTTTTACTATTGTATCACAACAGGCACCTCTAAAACTACAATGATACCAGTAACCATCAGCTCTTAAAGAATCTGACCAAAGTGAAGTTTTATATAGACTGTACCAATAAGTATATGAACAGATTTCCCTCCTAAAAAATTGGTGTTGGTATAAGAAATGATTGCACCAATTCTTGTTTTATATTTGTTTTTTGTTATTTTGATTGAACTTGGTTATATAAAGCTATTTGTATTGTTATTATAAAATAATGAAAAGCCTAAAAATGTTAAAATAAATAACACCAAAAGATCTAAAATATTGCACGATCTAAATTATATATATATATTTTTTTTTATAACAAGAAAGTTTGCCTGCATTAAAACCCAGTATTTTGTGGATATTTATAATCTACCTGTCTATGACAAAATAGTGGACAGAAGGATAAAGATTAGTGAAAGAAGAGGATTCAGAACAAAATTTTGTCACAAGCCTTGGATTATAAAGAATTAAAATTTGTCTTTTGTGTTTTGCTTTAAGTTTTTATTATTTTATTTTTTTCAAAAGATTAAAAAGGAAATAAATTTAAAGCAGAGGAAACATTTGTACAAGAGGAAAGAAAAATGTGATAAGAAACAAGAGATATGAATAGTACTGTGGGAAAATAAACTTCCCCCCCCCAATCATTTTAAATGTCTTTTCTTTTATGTATTTCAAAAATAACAACACAAAATATGGTCAACAGAAGCAGAATTATAGTGACAAACAATTGCAAACATTGGCAGCAAGTAAAATGCAATGTTTCTTAACAAGATCTTCAAATACCAATTTTAAATACACATTTGCGCGTAGAAACAAAACGCATAAGTATATAGACAGTTTACTCAATAGGCATGATAAAAAAAATAAATGTATATTTTTTAATTCTTTTTTTAATTGTACACAGCAATTATAAGAGTAGAAAATATGAAAAATTATCAAATAACTGTAGCCTTGAATAAATAAAAAAGAAAAAAAAAGAATCTTATCTTATTGGGGTAAAAATGGAAGCATAGAAAACCCTTTAAGTTGTAAAACTGCTTTTTAGTTCCTGCTTTCATATGAAAACTTTTTTAACATTTATTTTGTTGTGATCAATATTCTCAAAAGATTAATAAAATCTCTATTTAAAATTTAAAGCTGGGTAAGAAAAAATAAATACAATACAGTATTTTTTTCTGTTGCGGACTACACAAAGCATTAGGAACCAATATATTTTCCCAGATAAGTAATTTATGTATAACCTTATGAAATGAAGCAGATACAGCATAAATAATAAAGAACTTAACCATTGGTAGTAGATTTAAAACAAAACTAACTTAAATTGCAACATTTTTCTAACCGAAAAGGGATTGGTATTCTCTTAATAAATCAATGATTCCCACCAGTGTGGCATGGTGCTATTTTGGTGGGGCATGCATAGGATGTACACCATTCAGCTTACTATACAAATGTGAGCTCAAATTTCATTTTGCATTATTATTTTATGATTAAAATGATCAAAGTATATTACAGAATAAGCTTTCATTCAAATATTTCATATTTCTGCCTTTCAGTTCTCTAGCATTTGTTTTAAAACTATATATATTTTACTGCTTGTTTTTTTAATTTTTCTCTTTAATGGCCGTCATGGTCTTTAAAGGTTTGTTTAGAGACCAAGTTAATGACTTTTAAGTTTCCTTCATGTGAACTGCAGTGAAATTTTGAATATGTAAGAATTAAATATTAGGGGGGGGGGCATGAGGGCACTAGAATTTTAGAAATACCAAAGTGGAGCATGGCCCAAAATTGGTTGGGAACCACTGAACTATATCGCTTGATAATACCTAGGATCTATAAAGAAAATTTATCATCTTTAATTTTAATATGAATGTTAAAAGGAAGTTTAAATGCTGTAAAGTTTATTTCTCTCTCATTCACTTAATTAAAGCAGGTATGCTTAAGTAAAAAGAGAAACAGCAGTAAGGAGCAAATGAAAACAAGCAGAATGTATGATAAGGTGGTGAAAAGTTCTGAGTTCAACCAAGAATCCATCCTTCAAAAAAATAAATAAATAAAAGAAATTCTGATGATCGGAAATTTGGTCAGATTTTGTAAAGTTTGTAAGACCGACAACTTTCCAGCTCCTTTTTGTCTGTATTGTTTCCATTGTTATAAGATTACACGAGGGAATTTGAGGTGACAAAAAATTTTTTTTTTTTTTTTCACTTCAATAATTTTAAATTGATCTCTAAAAATGATAAAATTTAGGTGAGCTGCTTTATATTCTGAAGAGGTGTT